ACTCCGCTGGGCCCCCCAGCAGCCTTCGGAAGTGGTGGCAGTTTCGCAGATCGCACCCCCCCCCCCCCGTGATGGCGAGGTCTAGTCTGAATCTGCGTATGCTCCCACTCCGGTGGGCCCCACAGCAGCCCTCGAAAGTGGCGACAGTTTCGCAGATCGCAGCCCCCCAGGGATGGCGAGGTCTAATCCGAATCTGCGTATGACCCCATTCCGCTGGGCCCCCAGCAGCCCTCGAAAGTGGCGACAGTTTCGCAGATCGCAGCCCCCCAGGGATGGCGAGGTCTAATCTGAATCTGCGTATGACGTCACTCCGCTGGGCCCCCCAGCGGCCCTCGAAAGTGGGGACAGTTTCGCAGATCGCAGCCCCCCACGGATGGTGAGGTAGGAGACAAATTGGCACGCAGGAGCGAGGGAGGTAGGAAGCAGGGGGAAGAGGAAAGGAGGAGGGGGTGGGAGAGGAGAGGAGAGGAGTCGCGACCGCAGCTGCTCTATTCAGAAACGAGAACCCAACGCAGGAGGGTTGGGAAAAAGGAGTTGCTCTGATTGTTGTTGGTGTTGATGCTGTTGTTGCTGTTGTTGTTGGTGTTGTTGTCGTTCTCATATCTGAAGAATAATTATTGCTCGCCCCCCCCCTCGGGGCCACATTATATGTTGTTCAATTGAAGTGCCCTTCCAGGGCTCGCAGCGTGCTTTTTATCCGGGACAGTCTTGGGTGTCAGAATTGGGCTGTTGGTTCCCGGTTCACAAAACAACAACAACGGCTCCCGCCTGACATGTCCCTAGAATGTCTTCCAAAATCGCGATTTCGCCCGGGATGTCCCCACAATGTATGCAGGAATCGCGCTCCCGCGGGGGACACCCTCGCAATTTATTCAGACGTCGCGCTTTCGACTCAGGAATCACGCTCTCGATGTGGGCGTCCTCGCGATGTATTTGGGAATCGCGCTATCGCTCGAGACTTCCTCGCGATTCATGCAGGACGCACGCATCAGCAGCCCGCCTGGTCGACCTGGCCGCCTGGGCCCGCCTACCTTACCCCCCGTTAAGGTCCCTCCGCCCGATTTGCCCGCCTGGTTCTGCCACGTGCTTTCTGCTCCGAACCCTTTTTCGTTACTCCCTTTCGGGCTCCATCCTCCTCCTTCCCCCTTTCCACTTCCTTCCATCCGTTCTCTTTTCCCTTGCCTCAGGGGCTGCACGAAATACACGTTGCAGGTAAGGAAGATATGCCCCCAATGGGATACGATCGAAGACGAAGAGGGCGGGTATCGAGCGTTTGGGATATACGTGTTGAGTGGCACGCTGGCAGATAAGAACGAGCAGTCTCAAAATGATTCGTGTTGCTGTTGGTGTTGATGCTGGTGTTGTTGTTGTCGGTGGTGGTGTTGGTGGTGTTGTTGTTGTTGGTGGTGGTGGTGGTTGTGTTGTCGGTGGTGTTGTTTTTGCTGTTGTTGTTGTTGAATTTGAGTTCTTACTTGTAAAAAAGTATAGTTGATCCCCCCTCGGTGGCGCATCGTATTTTTCGAGGCAAGTGCTCCTCCCGGGGCTTGCACCTTGTTTTTTCCAAGGGGATGCGGGGGTCACCAAACTGGCCCCCTGGCCCCCGAGTTTTAACAAGAACGGTTCCCTCCTGATATTTCTTCACACTATATTCCAAATCGTGTTCTCGCGCGGGATGTCTAGACAAAGTGTGCAGGAATCGTCATCCCGCATGGGACTTCTCCGCAATTTGTTCAGACGCCGCGACCTCGACACTCAGGAATCGCGCTCTCGCTTTGGCCGTTCTCGCGATGAGCTTGGGAAGCCGCTATCGCTCGAGCTCCCTTCGCGATTCATGCAGTACCCACGCTTCGGCAACACGCCTGCTCGTCCTGGCCGCTTGACCCGCCTTCCCGACCCGCCCGTTAGGCTCTACCCACCCGATGGGCCCGTTTGGTTCTGCCACGTGTTTTCGGCTCCTAGCCCCCCTTCCTGCTAATCCCGTGGTCAATCCTTTTTCCCTCTCCCATCCCATCCGTCTTCTCTTCCCTTGGCTGCACCAATCACGCGCGGCAGGTAAGAAAGATATACGTCCAGAGGGGGTACGCTCGAAGACAAAGGCGGGCACCGAGGATTTGGAATATATGGGTTAAAGTGCACGCGCAGGTAAGAACGAACAGTCTCAACATTATTGGTGTGGTTGGTGTTATGTGTGTTGGTATTGTTGTTGCTGCTGTTGGTGATGTTGTTGTTGCGGGTGTTGCCTTTTGTTGATGGTGTTGTTGTTGTTGAGTTCTCATCCCTGACGACTAATTATTGTTGATCCCCCCTCGGGGGCACATGGTAAGGTTTAAAGTGCTCCTCACGGGGCTTGTACCCTGGTTTCTAAAATGGCGGAGGGTCACCAAACAATGAGGCCCTTGGCACCCGAGTTGCAACAACAATGGCTCCCGCCTGCTACTTCCTCACAACGTATTCCAAATCGCGCTCTCGCGCGGGATTCCTTGACATGTTATGCAGAAATCGTGCTCTCGCGTGGGACTTCTTCGGAATTTGTTCGTGTTTTCTGCTCTTAGCCCCCTTCTTGCTAATCCCGTGGTCCATCCTTCCCCCTCCCCCTTCCATCCGTCCTCTCCTCCCCTGTTTTAGGGGCTGCACCACTTGCACGCGGCAGGTAAGGAAGGTATACCCCCAGGGAGTACGATCGAAGAGGAAGAGGACGGGTATCGAGGGTTTGGGATATACGTGTTGAATGGCACGCGAGCAGGGCGGGTATCGAGGGTTTGGTATATACGTGTTGAATGGCACGCGAGCAGGTAAGAGCAAACATCATTAAACTGATTGTTGTTGTTGTGACTGGTGATGACGACGTTGATCATGATGGAGGTGATGATGATGACGATGATGATGATGATGTTGATGATGAGTATAATTACAGCGATGATGATGATCATCATCATCATCACTATGATGATGATGATGACGACGATGCGGATGATGATGCTGATGATGATGACGCTGATGGTGATGCTGCTGATGATGCCGATGCTGATGCTGCTAGTGCTGCTGGTGCTGCTGCTGATGATGATGATGATGACGATGCGATCGTTGTGACTGTGGTGATGGCGATGAGGATGAGGATGAGGATGAGGATGAGGATGATGAGGAGGAGGAGGAGGAGGAGGAGGATGAGGATGATGATGATGATGATGATGATGATGATGATGATGAGGATGATGATGTTGATGTTGATGTTGATGTTGATGTTGATGATGATGTTGGTGGTGGTGAGAAGAAAGGGAGAGGAGAGGAGAGGAGAGGAGAGGAGAGGAGAGGAGAGGAGAGGAGAGGAGAGGAGAGGAGGAGGAGGAGGAGGAGGAGGAGGAGGAGAGCAGAGGAGGAAGAGGGGGCAGCAGAGGAGAGGGGTAGAGGTCCGCTGCCTCGCCGCGCCCACGTGCCGCGGCCCCGGTGCCTGCGGAGCCCGTGATGAGCTTCCGACGCGGCGCGTCGAGGCCGTGGCCGGTCAAGCCCGCGGGGGGCAGGCCGCCGCGCCCTTGCCAAGGAGGGCTGCAGCAGGCGCGGGTGGGCGGCGGGGGAGGTGCCCTCACGGTCAGCCAGGCGGGGCGGGCGCCACGCGAGTGGCGCTGCCCTCGCACTGTTCAGGGGCAACGATAGGAGGGGATAGGCAAAGGGGGGGATGCATCGACCCCCAATCGCCCATTGATCGCCGATAGGGTCCCGATAGCCCCCACCTGCCCAGGAAGGTGCGGATTCACGATCGGAAGCCCATCGCCGATCCATCGGCGATGCATCGCCGATTCCAGGTCGATGCATCCCCCCCTATGCCATACGCCCGGCTCACGCCGGGCGCTTTCGGCGCCGCGTCGCCGCGACTGGCGGTGGCATCAGGGCTGCGCGGGTCAGGAACTCCTCCTCGTCCCTCTCTTCCTCCTCTTCTTCTTCTCCTCCTCCTCCTCCTCCTCCCCCTCCTTCTCATCCTCCTCCTCCTCCTCCTCCTCCTCCTCCTTCTCATCCTCCTCCTCCTCCTCCTCCTCCTCCTCCTCCTCCTCCTCCTCCTCCTCCTCCTCCTCCTCCTCCTCCCCCTATGCCAGTCCCCCCCTGCGCGCGCAGCAAAAGCCCGTCGCCCCGCGCCGGGCCGCCCCGTCGAGTCCGCGCCGAGTGGGCGAGCACACCTCCGCTTTGGGCGGGTATCGCATGTGTGGGTACGTAGCTGCCGAGGGCGAGGGCCGCAGCTGCCGAGGGCGTCCGAGCTGGGGGGCGGCGGGGGCGCGACGGCAGGAGCCGGCATGCGCAGGCGGCGCGCCGGCGGGAGGCGAGAGCCGGAGCTGCCCGGGGCGTCCAGGCCAGGGGTGAGGCGGGCGTTTCGCGCCCTCGAGGGCGCGAACTTCTTCGCGCTTCGCGCTTCGGCTCCCGCTTCTCCCTTTGGGGAGGCGGCGCGAGAGCGCGAAGTTATTCGTACTTCGCGCGTCGCGGAGCGCGAAGCGCGAAGTTGGGGTATCGCCCCCGCTTCTCCTGCGTTCTGGCCGCCACGGCGCCGCGAATCGGTGCTGGAGCGGGCCCGCCTGCGAGGGGCGCGGGTAGGGCACTCGGGGTCTGCTCCAATCGGCATGCCCTCCTCCCTTCCTCCCCCCACTCTCTGTCTTCCCTCCTCCCTCCTCCCTCCTGCTTCCCATGCTCCGCGCTCCTCTGTGCCCTGCGAGTCTCTGTTCGCCCTGAACGTCCCAGTTCCCCCTGCTCGTCCCGCTTCTCCTGCCCTTCTCTCCTCTTCCCCCCCTCTCCCCTCCTCCTGTTTTCGCTGATCGCCCCCTGTCCTCCCCCCGCCCCCTCCCCATCCTCATCGTCCCCGTTGGGCTGCTGATGCTGATGCTGCTGCTGCTTTCTCCCCTCCCTGCTCCCCCTTAGTCGCTCTATTCGAGCGCATATTCTATGTTGTCCAACATTCGCTGTGTAAGACCTCTACAATTTCGAATCGTTCGATGCGCATTATTCCATCTTGACCGCAGGTGCACGGCCGTCTGCGTCTTGATGTCACAGGACGCGGCGATGCTCTGTCCACGGGGGAGGGTTCAGGATGAGGAGGAGGAGGAGGTCAGTTTTTCATCATTGGTCGCGTTGATAGGTGGGCGCATCCTAACCGGAATACTTTACAGGGATGGCGCAAACAGACAGGAGGGAATAGTAGGAAGGAGGAGGAGGAGGAAGAGGAGGAGGAGGAGGAGCCCGTGAACACCGGGGAGCTGGAGAAGGCCAAGCTGGGCGTCGCAACTCACAATTCTCGACGCGGTGACATGCAACCTATGTAATCCACTCGGACACGGGCATTACCCGCGCTCAGAGTGACGACCGCTCGCACCAGCGGGCACCCTCGGAGCGCGATGGACTTGCAGCCCCGCGCCGCGACGACAACGCTAAACGCGGGAGTTGCCCTCTTGTGGCGGCGAGCTCGTCTCGCTCGCCCTTGACACTCGCGGCCGCCCGGGCGACGCGGCTGTCGCTCGCGTGCCTTTCCTGCTGCACGGCCGGGGGCTCGGCGCACCGGGTCGTTCTGGCTATTCTGGCGGCAGCTCGGCTGCCAGCTCCGGGTGGGCAGCGCCGGGCCGCTACTACCGGCCGTTGTCGGCGTCTGAGCCTCTGGCCACCGCGGCGGCTGCTGCTCAGGCCAGCCACAACTGGGGGAGCTGTGGCCCTTACCCCCTTGGGGACCCATCGATTTCGACACCCTTTTCGAGAGATCGTCAATGCGTGCGATAGGTTCCCCCATGGGGGTAAGGACCACAGCTCCCCCATTTATGGCTGGTCGGCTGCTGCCGCTCCCAACGATACCACAGCGTCCCCGACCAGAGCTACCGCCAGGGCTGCCATCTGCTCACGCACTACAGTCGGCCCGGATGGGCAGGTCGGCCCTGCCAAGGCAAGGGTACCCTCGTGTCCTGTGTCTCGCGACCCGTGCCTCCTGCATCCCTATGGCAATGTGACGCTCGGAAGGGCCTTGTGTCCTCTCGCGTGTCCTGTCCAACTGTCCAATGAAGTCCGACTGTAGGCCACCACCACCACGGCAGCCACCGACACTGCCACGACAGCCACCACCGCCCGCGAGCGCTGGGCACCGCCGAGGCACGCCCAGCGGCGGGCCTGTCCCTGGACAGGGGGGATACTCAATCATAAACAAAACAGTCCCTGGACAGGGGGGATACTCAAACATAAACAAAACAGTCCGGGTACGACTTTTCTGTGTGTGTTTTTGTCCAGTACTTGGGGGCGTTGTCCGAGTATTTTTCATTTTTCGTCCAAAGACCGCTTGTAGTCAAGGGCGTTAAAAACGCCCTTACCCTGGTTTACGAGGCGCTGTGGGCTGAACCTCCTGTGGGCTCACAGGGTAAACCCTGCATATCGCGCGTGTCGCGCGGCGTCCTGGCGGCTCTCTGGCCTTTGGGAGCTCCCAGGAGGTTTACGGACCACGCACTTGTAACCCAGGGTAGGGGCGTTTTTTTTCATGCCCGATCTAACTCGTGCTTGTAGGCTTGATGTCTCAAGCTCTCCGCCGCCTCAGGCGGTGCTCGCTCAGAGCAGGAGCACGGCGGAGCCAGCGCGAAGCGTGGTGTGGACGGTGCAGCTCCGCACGCGCGTGCCAGATGCTCCAGCGAGCAGGAGCATAGCGGAGCCCCAGGGCAGCGAGGCATTGACGGTGTCCAGGAGGGAAAGGAAGCACACAGACACAATTGATCGTCGACTCCCAGGAAAGCATGGGAAAATATGGGAAGTGGGGGGGAAGACAAAAGCCCAAAAGTATTGGAAATTATAGGGAATCTTGCTATTTGTGACTATCTACTTGTGTGTCCCGGGGCCCCTTCAAACGCAGCGGAGCCCCAGGACAGCGAGGCATTGACGGTGTAGCTCCCCCGTCACCGCTGCCCGGCCACCCATGCCTGCCGCACTCGCGTCTCCTCCTTGCCCTTGAGCTTCGCCCAGGCGTCGTGCCCCCTGTCTCCTGCAGCGCTGGCAGGGTCGGCCGGGCCCGGTTCTGCGTGCCTCGGTGCGTGGCCGTAGGCTGCGGCCGCGGCCGGTGCTTTCCTCCTCCTGGTCGTCGCCAGGGCTTGCTGCCGCACTGCCTGCGGCAGCGGTCTGGCATCCAGGTGCTGCTGCCGGCTGTCTCCGAGGAGGAGGGGCGTGTTTTTGGACGTTTGAGGAGGGGGAGGAGGAGGAGGGGGAGGAGGAGGAGGAGGAGGAGGAGGAGAAGAAAGGAGAAGAGAGGAGGAGGAAGGAGGAAGGAGGAAGGAGGAAGGAGGAAGGAGGAAGGAGAGGGAGGAGGAGGACGAAGGAGGAGAAAGGAGTAGGAGGAAGGAGAAGGAGGAGGAGGAGGAAGGAGGAGGAGTAGAAGAAGAAGGAAGGAGGAGAAGGGGAGAAGAGTGTGGCGGCGGAGGAGAGTGGAGATGAGGAGGGGGGCAAGGTCACTTCGACTGGCGAAGGGCAGAGAGCGCTGCCTGCGCTGGATCCGCGCAGGCCGAAGTGATTTGTGCCAACGCCGGCGACTCGCGCGCCATCATGTGCCGCGCGGGGAAGCCGGTGGGCGGCTCGCCTTTTTCTGTTTCTGTAGGTATCGGGGAACAAACGATTACATAGACATCAACATTCGGAGGTCCGCGCGGACCTCCGCGAGTTGTTATGTTTATGTCATCGTCTGTTCCCTTATACTTGCGCGAGAGGACGGCAGACGGAAGGAGGGAAGAGCGCGAGGGAATAGGGAAGAACGAGGTGATGGCCTCCCTGGTCAACCCCGCCTCGGTCCGTACGTATCACTGATGCTGCCGATGATTTCGGAGTTGAATTTACGGCGTGCCGTTCCTTCTGCTTGCTTCTCGCTCCTTAATTTCGCATTGACGCTTCGCGTATCCCCACCAGTTTCAGCAGGTTGCGCTGCACCACGTTCCGCGACAGCTCAGCCTCCCTGGCTAGCACACGTCGTCTAGAGCGTTTGGAGCCTGGCGCCCCACCGACGACTCGCTCCACGGGCCTCGTACCTGCCCCCACTCAGAACGACGGAGTCGGTTGCTCAGGTACACGTCTTGTCACTGTGTGGGCCGTGCCTCATGGCAGGCATCGAATTCCTCGACATTTTGTCCTGTGCATGCGCATGAGCTTCCCAGGATGCCCCCCGCCGTCAGACCCCCCTCAGCTTCGCGGCTGCTTTGTGAGTGGGCCGGCCGGCTAGTACGCCTCCTGTAGCCAATTAGGCTTGCCCGTTGGCCCGGACTCCCTTCCCGCCGCCTGCCTCTTCGCTTGCGGCCGCGACCGAAAAAGTATCCCCACCAGCCGTCCGTAGCCCCCCTGGCTCAAGCCATTTGTTTTGCCCAGCGGAGGTCTCCAGGTTGATATCGTGTCTGGTTCCCGGTTGAACAGCCCCCCGCCGCCATGTATCGGGGGCGGAAAAGAGGGGGTGATGATTAGGGGGGGTGGATATCATGGCGGGGGCCATGATATTTCCCCAGATTTTATGGCGCCTCTTCTTATTCATTACGACCCTGGCCCCCCCGCTGGGCCGCGCACATGCCGCTGGTCATGATGCAAGCGTCTTGGCTGCAGCTGAGGTCCTTGCATTGCGCAGGAAAGGAATTGGTTCAAACCAATTCCTTTCCTTTCCAACATTCCGTTCCTATACCCTTATCTTTCTCCGATGGCTGGCACGAGGGAGCCGGGGACACCAGTTGGGGCAACTCACGCACGTGACGTTCGCCGTCGCTTGTTCAGCCCGCTCCATGAAAGTGGACGTGCTGGATGAGTTCGACCTGTCCCCGCCCCGCCCAGAGGTTCATCAAATATCCTCGTCGGTGGCCCCGAACATTCCGGCAGAGGCATATCTACAGGATCTGTCACCATCAAGGCGATCACCGACGCCATGGTGAGCATCCTCGAAAGGAAGTCCAAAGAGAGGCTCGACCCAGTCACGACGGCCGTCGAGTCGATCCAGCAGCAGGTGGACACGATGGACACGCGCATCGCGAAACTGGAGAGCAATGGGGCCCCCCAGACCGTGAACACGGAGGTATGGGATCACATCCAAAAATTGGAGGTTGAAGTCTACCAGCTGAAGGCGGACGGTCGCCAGGACACCGCGGGCCAGGAACAGCAAAACATTGTGGTCATCGGAGGTCTCCATCCGCTCTTTGGCCAGGAGGAGGCTAAAGAGTGGTTGAAGGATAGGCCCTGGAACCTATACGCCCCTCAGGCGGAAGAAATCTACACGAAGGGGGACTTTCGGGGACTCTTGTTCGCGACGTTCCGGGCAAGATCGATCGAGATTCGGCCGTGCAAGCACTTCGCAAGGCGTTTGACGCGGTGGGTGGAAACCAGGTTTGGGCCAAAGCAGACCTGAGCTTGTCGAAGAGGATCGTGAATTCGCTCGTTCCGGAACTATGTTTATGATGAAGGAGTGGGGGTCTGCAGGCGAAGCTGTTTGGGCCGACCCGGAGAAGGGGAAAGTTTGGGTTGGTACCGAAGTCGCGGTCAAGGTGGCCATCCAGGATGGGGCTCTGAAGGTAGGCTACGGCGCTGGCTGGGAGGAGTGGCTCACCCAGGACGGCTTTCCCGAGTTCCCGAAGAAGCTTCAGAAATTGCCCGACAAGTTAGGGCGAGCCCCAAGTAAAGGTTTTGGGAAGGGCAAGCACAAGGGGAAATTAAAGGGGAAGGTCCCCGAATAGGACTGCCAGCGGGGCGTGAGCGAGGATGTTTCACTTCACGTTTCACTTCAGGGTCAGTTTGGGGAAACCTGCATGATCGGCATTATTTCCAGCGTTTCCCTTTGCCTGCATATCGGGATTGGTGCATTGGCGAGGCCACGCCGCATTTGTCTGCCATCCGAGGGCGTCGTTTGCATCCTGTTCGCGAGGAGTGGCCCATCATGGGCACGTGGAAGATCGAAGGGTACACTCAGGCAAAACAGGTCGAGCTTGAGACGCTGATGTTTGATAGGGGCATTCGAGCTCTGCGCGTGCAGGAGACGTGGATGTCCCAGTCCGACGTCTTCACCACGGAGGCCCGCATCCGCGTCATCTTGTCGGGTGGCACGGGCGAGGCGGGCCAGGGGCAGCGCGCGGGGGTCGGTTTCGTCGTCGCACCTTGCATGAGAGGGTCAACTGTCAGGTTTCGTCAGCCCACGGTTAGAATGGTTAGTGAGGGGGCCGTCTACAGGAAGGGGGGGCCACCCAAAAACGCTAACAGCCAGGCCGGGGGGCACAACTAAAATGTAATATTCAAAATTACGTTTTTGTCCGAAGGCATGGTTTGGAAAATCCAGAATTATGGTTTGTTGTTGTTTTTGCCCTGAAGGGCTGTGTGTGCTTGAATTCAGAAATCGCGATTTTATTGTGGGAAGGCTTCGCCTCTTTCGCCCTTCTGGAAGTGTTGTTGCACGATGAACGCCACGTGCGAAACATGTTTGTGGGGCTTTCCGTGTGTAGTTTCATTGGCGGTTGGATGCGTAGTTGGTTTCGTTACTGTTCGTATCCATCACGGTCCACCCAGCAATAGTACCCAGGCGAAATGTCTTGATCAGGGAAGTGCGGGAACATTCCGTGTAACGAAGAGAAATTGATGGGGAAGCCGTCAAACTGAATTTCGTGGGTCAGCCTGGGCACGCCCGGGTGCGAATGCACATTCGCGGCCCTTGCCGAAACAGGCAGGGCGCAGAAGAATGATGAGGAGGCGGGGGAGGGGGAGGCGGGGGAGGAACACGAGGAGGACGAGGACTAAAAGGAAGAAGGGAGGAGCGACGGGAGTAGCAGGAAAGGGGCGAGCAGAAGTATGATGACATTGACTGCGCAAGCTTTGGGGGGGAGGAGGAGGAAGAGGAGGAGGAGGAGGAGAAGGAGGAGGGGGATGAGGAGGAGGAGGAGGAAAGGAGGAGGAGGAGGAGGAGGATTGGGCGAAGGAGGAGGAGGAGGAGGAGGAGGAGGAGGAGGACGAGCGTACAACGCGCACGCGCGCGTGCGCGCGAGGTGTGATTTCTGCATTGTTCTCAGCGGTCTGGCAACGAAGGGGCCTGGAAACGAAGGGGTTCTTGGGCGGTGACCGAATGGGTGTTCCAGGTAGCGCGGGGCTGCAGCGCGCCAGCCAAGTGGCTCAGCGCGCAACGCGCCCGCGCGCGCGCGCCGGCGCGAGCTGTGAATTCTGTATCACTTATAATAGAAGTGCCGCAATGTTGGCATGGAAGCTCAAGTGGTCCCCTGGCGGAGACCGATTGGATTTCCGATTTACCATGGGTTTGTAGCGCGTCGGTGAAGTGGCTCAGCGCGCAACGCGCCCACGCGCGCGCGCGGGCGCGAGCTGTGAATTCTGTGTTATCCACAAAAGAAGGGCAGTCGTGCTGTCCTGGAAACTAAAGTGGCCCCCCAGCGGTGACCGACTGGATTGTCAAATTGACGTGGGGATGTAGCATGTCGGCCAAGTGGCTCAGCGCACAAGTCGCCCGCGCGCGCGGGAGCGAGCCGCCACTCTGCGTTATCCAGAACAGAAGGGCCGCCATGGTGGCTTGGGAGTTCAAGCAGCCCCTTAGTGGTGGCCGATTTCTTTTTCCAATTTAACATGGGCTTCTAGCATGTCGGCCAAGTGTCTCAGCGCACAGCGCGCCCACGCGCGCGCGAGCTGTGAGTTCTACCCGCAATAGCAGGGCCGCCATGCTGGCCTGGGAAATCAAGCGGCCCATTAGCGGTGACCGATTGAATATCCGAGATAGCTCGAGTTTGTAGCGTTTTGGTTAAATGGTTCAGCGTACAACGGGCCCACGCGCGCGCGCGCCCGCTTGCGCTCGCGCGCGCGAGCTGTGAATTCTGTATCACCAACAATAGAATGGCCGCCATGTTTGCTTAGAAACTTAAGTGGCCCCTTAGCAGTAACCGACGGACTTCCAAGTTAGCAAAAGGTCGTAGCATGCCGGTTAAGTTGTGCAGCGTACAGAGCGCCCGCGCCTGTGCGCGCAGGCGCGAGCTGTGAACCCTGTATTCTCCGCAATGCAAATACCGCCACGTTGGCCTGAGAACTCAAGTGGCCCCTTAGCGGTGGCCGATGGTATTTTCCATGTTTAACATGGGCTTGTAGCATGTCGGCCAAGTTGCCCAGCGTACAAGGCGCCTCGCGCGCGCGCCCGCGCGCGCGCGAGTTGTGAATTTTCGTGCTACCCGCAGTAGAAGGGCCGCCATGTTGGCCTGCACACTCAAGTAGCCCCTTTGCGGTGGCTTCCAGCATGTCAGCCAAGTGGCTCAGCGCGCAACGCGCCCGCGCGCGCGCGGGCGCGAGCTGCGAACCCTGATCCAAAGTAGAAGGGCCGCCGTGTTGGCTTGGAACCCCGGATTGATTTCCAGGTTAGCACTGGTTTGTGGCACGTTGGCCAAGTAGCCCAGCGCTCAACGCACCCACCCGCGCGCGCGCGAGTTGCGACTTCTGGATCACTTGGTTACCCATAATAGAAGGGCCGCCACGATTGCCTGGAAACTGAAGTGCAATCCTATCGTTGGCTGATTCGATTTCCGAGTAACCATGTGTTTGCAGCGTGCCGATTAAGCTGTAAATTCTTTATTGCACGCCATAGAGTGGCCGTCATGTTGGCCTGGAAGCCATAGTGGCCCCTTAGCGGTGGCCGAGTGGTTTTCCCATTTTACCTAGGGGTGCCGCATGTCGGCCAAGTTGCTCAGCGTACAACGCACCCGCGCGCGCGGGCGCGAGTTGTGACCTCTGCATCGCTCACAACAGAAGGGCCGCCGTATTGGCTTGGAAACGCAAGTGGCTCTCTAGCGATGGCCGACTGGATTTTCAATTTAACATGGGGTTGTAGCATGTCGCACAAGTGGCTCAGCGTAAAGGACGCCCACGCGCGCGCGCGCGAGCAGTGACTTACGAACTATCCACACCAGAAGGGCCGCTATGTTTGCTTGGAAACTAAAAGTTGCCCGTTGCGGTAGAAGATTGAATATCCTAGTTAGCATGTGGTTGTGCCATGTTGGCCAAGTAGCTCAGCGTACAACGCGCCCGCGCGCGCGGGCGCGAGCTGTGAACTCTGTATCATCCACGACAGAGGACCGCCGTGCTGGCCTGGCAATTCAAGCGGCCCCGTGGCGGTGGCCGAATGGATTTCCAAGTTAACATGGGGTTGTTGCATGTCGGCCAAGTGGCTCAGCGCACAACGCGCGCACGCGCGCGCGCGGGCTGTGCATCCTGCACTACCCAGAATAGAAGGGCCGCTGTCTCCTGGAAACTCATGTGGCCCCTGAGCGGTGACCGATTGGAATTCCGAGTTCACATGGGCTTGTAGCATGTGGCTGAACGCACATAGCGCCCGCGCGCGCGCGCCCCCCCCCGGCGCGTGCGAGCTCTGAAAGCCGTACTACCCGCAATATCGGGTCCTTTATGTTGGCATGGAAGCTCAAGTGGCCCCTCCGCAGTAACCGATTGAACTTCCGAGTTAACATGGGGGTTGTCGCGTATCGGCCAGGTGGCTCAGCGTACACGTCGCCCACGCGCGCGCTAGCTGTGAACTCTTTATTTTTTCCACCGTACAACGGCCACCATGTTGGCATGGAAAATCTAATTGGCCAATTAACGGTGACTGATTGTATTCCGAGTTAACATGGGCTTGTAGCATGTCGGTCACGTGGCTTAGCGTACAACGCGCCCGCGCGCGCGAGATGTGACTTCTGGACTACCCACATTAGAAAGGGCCGCCATGTTGTGGCCTGGAAACTCAAATGGCCCCTTAGCGGTGACCGATTGGATTTCGAAGTTAGCATGAGTTTGTAGCGTGTCGGTTACGTGGCTCGATTTACAAAGCGCCACCGCGCGCGCGCGCCCGCGACCGCGCGAGCGCGAGTCGTGAATCTTGGGTTACCCACAAAAGAAGGGCCGCCGTGTTGGCCTGTGAACGAAGGTGGCCCTGAGAGGTGACCGACTGCATCTCCAAGTTAACATGTGGTTGGAGCATGTCGACCATGTGGCTGAGCGCGCAACGCGCCCACGCGCGCGCGGGCGCGAGCTGTGAATTCTGTTGTGCCCACAATAGACGGGCCGCTATGTTTGCCTGGAAACTCAAGCGGCCCCTTCAGCGGTGGCCGAATGGATTTCCAAGTTAACATGGGGTTGTAGCACGTCGGCCAAGTGGCTCAGCGTACTACGCGCGCGCGCGGGCGCGAGCTGTGCATTCGGCGCGCGGCGGCCGCGGGCCTTCCTGCGTGGGAAATAAACGCAATATGCGATCGCGGAAATGCAGCCACACGCACTGTGGCCTGGGCCACTACGTAGGTAGGCGAACATACGGCTGCAAGGGGCAATGACGCCGCGCGTTAGGGCGGGACACCATATTATGCGCGAGGGGAAAGCGCCGAGGCCATGCGCGGCCCGTGTTCAGCGCAGCCCGGTCGCCCCCGGCCTGGGGCCTGGCCCGGCAAGCAGCCCTGCCCACCCTGACCGGTACCCAGCGGGCTGGCCCCTCGCCCACCCAATAGCTCGGCTGGTGACCGGCCGGTAGCCCGGCCAGTAAGTCCGCGAACGCGGCGGGCAACCCTGCCGGTAACTCCACGAACCCGGCCGGTAACCCTGCCGGTAATTCTACGAACCCGGCCGGTGACCCGGCCCGGCCGGTAGCCCGGCTGGTAGCCCGGCTGTTAACTGCGCGCCCGGCCGGTAACCCGGCTGTTAGCCCCGGCCCGGCTGGTAACCCGGCTGGTAACCCGGCTGTTAATTCCCAGCCCGGCCGGTAACCCGGCCGGTAGCCCGGCTGGTAGCCCGGCCCTTAGCTTGGCCTTGCAGCACATTCTGTAGCGGAGCTACAGCGCCGCTACAGAACGCCGCAGACGGCCGGCCCTTTGCCTGGCCGGCAGCCCGGCTGCAACTCCGCGCACCCGGCCGGTAGCCCGGCTGTTAATTCCCGCGCGCCCGGCTGGTAACTCCGCGCACCCGGCCGGTAATTCGGCGA